ATCGATCAGTCCCACCTCAGCCACTTTTTGGGTCTGATCTGTTTTCATGTGTAGTCCTTGATCACATTTGGGTTTGCTATTTCTGCATGTCAGGGCATTCCATCAGCACACATTCTCATTTTTCGGGATACTATTTGAGGTTATTTCATCTCGTGATTCAGTCCCAGTTACATGCTTTGCCCTTTGGACTTGTTTGATGCCATATGTCTTTTGTGGGATGGTTTGCATTTTACCCGACTTGCACTTTTTGGGGGTCATTTTACCAACACTATTCATTGGATGAGTAGCTTTGGTTAGCTACTTCTGAACAGGGACCATCCATTGATTTTTTCTTAATTTTCTCTTTTCCCACTTCTTCTATGTGAGTTGATAGATGTTCATATCCCCTACGGTATTGTGTTTCCTGCTTCTGGCCCCTTTTCTGGAATGCATCTCTTCCCAGATACTCATCTGCATTGGCTGGGGATGTGATTTGGTCTTATTCCCTTCACACCCTGGCACTTCATCCAGTTCAATGTGCTTTCATTCACTCTTTTCATTTTGTTTGGACTTGACTAATCATGTTCCATTTTGACTATTCAACAATGGTGGCTTTTATCACTCGATAAGGGGATGTTCTTTCTTGTTCCTGTTGTGGTAGACAGTGGATCTTCCTTTTTGAATCAACACACTTCATATGTTTATCCTGGAGGGTTGTGTTTCAGATTTTTGACCTTGTTGCTCATTGCCTTTCCAGTCCCATCACACTTTCTCTCAAGGAGTGACCTCTCGATTCTCCATATTTTATGGCTCTACCTCCTCTGGGGTACTCCTCCACATGAAGTTTTGGAATTTTTTATCAATTCCCAAGTAATTCCCTCTCTTGTTTTGGGCCTCTAGTTCATCATCTCCTTGCCCTGTCTGTCGATATGTTTAGACAGGATTACATCCAGCTTCTCCCGTAAGTTTTCTCTTTCCATCAGTTTTTTCCCAACATGTTTGTCCATCTATGTCACTCCAGTTTAGGCCTTTTAAATTGATTTCCTGGCCAGCACAAATTTGGGTTTCTCTGCTGTTTCAGCTCAAATGTTTCCTTTGTTCTGGATCATTTTTATTTACCTCCATTTTGTGGTATATTCCTGTCAACTTTTTCATTCTTACCACCTTCCACATTTCTTCTCAGTTGGTTACAGATGATCTTGTCAGTCCAGTACATGATTTGGGTTGCTTCATTGTTTTTAAAGTTTTTCCATTGAATCCATTTCACATGATTCCCTTCCCTTACTCCAATGCTTTGTCTGTGATTTTTTTCCTTCCTCCCTGACCCATTGGATTTGGATTGTGATTTGATTGGCCTTTTATTCCTTCTATCCTTTTTCCTATCATCGATTCCTCATGTCTTCACTCCAATCATGCACCTTCCCTTTTCCCTATATATCCAAACTGTCATCTGTTGAGCACTAGGACTACTACTCATATGTTCATCTCCCATTCTCTACTATGGGTAGCTGTTTCTTTCTTGTTGGGGTAATGTCATCCACCTGTTGCCATCCTTCACTCTTTTGTGAGACTGTGACTGGGTAAGTTACCTTTTGGTATCTATACCTCTTATTTTCAGGGACATCTCCCTCTTTTTTCTTTATGGATCCCGCTCTGTGGTGAGTGATACCTGTTCAGGTATACTTAAACTAGTAAAAGCCACACTGTAATTCTATGATGACTTAACAATTATAATTCCATGGGCACACAAGTCACACTGCAGAGATGGGGTGTTCCACAATATTGTTTATAGGTTTATCCTCGCGATACGTTTGATTCATAAGTTTGTCTGTCCAAGACTGTACTCACTCATGGACTACATGGGTAAAGGGGATAGCTTCCCATCCCTGCCATGCCTTGTATTGAATAGATTGGTATGGTCTTCTTCTCAAAATAGGGTTTTGTGGTTACCCATTGTACTGTCTCAGGTGTTGTTGTTTCTCCAGACTCTCCACCATACTTTCTACCTGCCTTTTCTTCTAGTGAAGTTTAAGAGTCCTTACCGCTTTCCAGTTACAAACTGCTAGGGTGATGAACCGTGGAGGCATCCTCCTAAATGTGATAATGAAATACAAATAATATATATAAATTATTATAAAACCATTCTGTTGAGAGTAGGGTGGTGATGTTCTGCTGATGAGATATCCTCCACTATATCACATGGGAGTGAGCCATCAAAATCGCAATTCTCCCCTTTGATTTGGATCCCTCATCCTGTCACCATGTGGATGTTGGTTCCCAGTGGCTGGGTTTTGGATTTAAAGTTGAACCAATCAACACAAGTCCTCACACATGTATTACTGATGCCTCTATTCCCTCACTCATTTCTACTCTTGTTACTCTATCTGTGTAGTGGGTCAAGGTGGAAGTACTTGCAAATTACCTAGATTCTTCCACTATTCCGAGGATGTTCTTGCACTTGAGGCGATTCCTGGTGTTATATATTTGAGTGAGATGGTTTACATTACACAGACATTTTTTTGATGCCAGATGTCAGGTTTCCCGATTGATTGTTCAATTTCTAACATTGTCATAAAACAACAACAAGATTTCCTCCCTCATGAACCTGATGTGAAGATGGTATGATTCTCTTTCCTACCCTCACCAATGGCTGGATTTTGGATTGTAGCTGACTTGCTGCCAGTATGATCCTCTTTTTACCCCCACTTGGATGTTGGTTCCCAATTGTCTGGTTTTGGATTGTAGTTGAATTGCCAGTGATATGATCCTCTTTCCTACCACCACATGGATGTCAGTACTTGGTGGCTGGGTTTTGGATGTAGTTGACTTGCTGTGTACGTTCCGTCATACCCTAGCCACTCTACACCTGTCATTATATATTTGAGTGAGATAGTTTACATTACACAGACATCTTTTCGATGCCGGATGTCGTGTTACCAGGTTGATCGTTCAGTTTCTAACATTGTTATAAAACAATAACATGTGTCTGTTCCTGGATTGGGGGTTATGAGATTCCCTCCACTTTTATGAACTTGAGGTGAAAACAGTATGATCCTCTTTCCTACCCCTCTAGATGGCTGAGTTTTGGATGTAGTTGACTTACTGTGTATGGTCCGTCACGCCATAGCCACTCTACACATAAGGGCACATCCTTTAATCTTACCCATTTTTATGTTTTCCAGGATTGAGATTCATAACTTCAATATATAATGTATGGTTTGGATCACTATCCTGCCATAGTTCTTTCCCATTTGGATATGCTTCTCCAATTTTCCACCTATATATGCAACATTTTTCCACAATGGGCGAAGAGTATACCTGGTTCAGAAGTGGTGCGGTCTCTCACATATGATCTTCGACTCCAAAGATCTCTTTGGGAGTGTTCATTAGATGCTTATTTCCATCCCTCTCACCGGTTCCTCCACCTATTCATAGTGGGATTCTAGCTATTTATGTGAGAAGAGGTAATGTACCGTATCGGAAGTTATAATATTCCTGTACTGAAAATGTATTTCTGATAGGTACTTACCTCTCCTCACACTTCCTCCCCACTGAAAACCAGTGCTTCCATAGAGGGAGTCACATGCGTGAAGACTATGTCACACTCTTATTGGTGGAGGGTTGTCACATGATGATTTACATAAGAGATGCATTGGAATCAATCAATTTCAGATGTGGGAGATTCAAGGCTTGTGGCATGCTCAAAAAGTTCTGAAGTTCTGAATGAGAATAGCTATTGATGTGAGAAGTGGTAAGTACCTATCGGAAATACATTTTCAGTATAGGAAAATTATAACTTATGGCAAACAAATGATTGCATTTTTATCATGTAACTTTCTTTGCAATTGCAATTTATATATCTACATATCTTACTTTTCAAATTGATATAAAAAATTCATGTATAAGGTTAACTAATTACCCTATCCTTTTAAAACTTTCTATGCATTTGAATTATTTTGCCTGTCATATAGATATTTAAGGATATCTTAACAAGGAGATAGTTTAACCAACATCATTCTTGATAAAATGTTGCGTAGTCTTATCCCTCTCTCTAATGATAGTAGAATTACACTTCTAACAGACTGCACTCAATTAAGAAAACATGGTAGTAACATGCATAGTTAAAAGATGTACAGTCAAGTGTTGCAATAATCTGGCATCATTTCAACACTTGAAGTGTTGGACATGCTTGTAAAATTTATTTTTATGCTTGAATGAAATAATTAGTTAAACATTATGGTTAATTATCTATGCTTTTCTTTTGATTTCTCAATATTTCGCTCTGAGGCAACTTTTTTTGCAATAGACTATAAATGAACAGTACTGTCATTTCTAGACCATATGGATAAAGATAGAAATTAGTAATTACATAATTTCATCTCTAATATCTCTGTATTTCTTGTACTTGAAATTTCTATGTAATGATAATCAAGTATGATAATTCAAAACTCCATTCTAGTTTGCTTCAGAATTTCTTTGAGTAGGGTATTCATGTTCTTATAGCGATTTTGTTTTTTGAACAGGGGATGTTCCTTTCTTACTAAATGCATACAGGGAGAACATGTTGGAGCTTTAGCTATCATTGTTGCAGACAGTGATATAAAAAATGATGAGCAATATATCGAAATGATAGACGATAACACTCAACGAAACTGTAGTATTCCGGCCATGTTTCTTCTTGGAAAAGATGGGTAGATATAACTTTCTCTTCTTATTCTTATTATATTCAGTTTTTCCTTTTCTTAAAATCATAATTGGTTGTTTTGCTGTTATTTACTGTATATTTGATGTTGGTTTAAAAATTAAATATCATATTTTTTCTTTCTCTACATCTATTTATCATCTTCTCTTACTCAAGTTCTTTGTTCTTTCTCATGCTTGACTTTCATTTAGAGATTTTCCCATCATGATTTTGTCAGTTTTAGTGGTGCATTTTGCCCTCTGTTTTCTTCCATTTTGTCCCAGTCACCTTGGTTTCTTTGTTTCTGGGATGAACTTTGTCAGGTTACTTTACTTTCTGATTTTATCTCATCCAATTTCCTCTCTAGGACCTCTCTCACTTGCACCATTTCTTTGTGATGTGTTTTTTGAAGGTATTTCTTGTATATATAATGGCATTTTAAGCTGATGCAACTCTTCAACAATCATCTCTGATAACTGATTTCTTGCTTTTAGGATCAGGGTGCCCAACCAGGCTTCTTATCATATATATATCTTTTGGGGATCCCCCCTTCTTTGGTCCTTGCCCTTTTATTACTGTACATGGTACATCCCCTTTGAGGGATGACGATCAGGGTCTTGGAGGTGATTCATTTTTGGAACCACTCCTCAGCTCTGGTCATATGGGAGTCTTGCTCTCCTGCTTTGTTCATTGTTGGACTCTTATTTGCTACAATCTATGGAGCTCCTAAGGTGCTTTTTCAGGGGTTTTGCCTGTACTTCTACTCTCTACCTCACCTGTTTCAAATGTCATTGGAGAATTCCTTAACCCAATTCTAGAGTTTTACTCCAGTCTTTTTATCATTCTCACAAAGATCAGAAGTTGTTGAATAGATATTAATTTACCCCACTTGATCTATCTTTGGTCTTTCCTCAGTTTCCAATGGGCAGTTTTCTCACTCACAATGGTGGATGACCTGATTTGAGTCTTGGACACTTTCTCCACTTCCTGATTTGTCTGCCTGCCTTTTGCTTCTTTCAGTCAAACCCCTTAATTTTGCCATATCCCATTTTTTTCCAGTGGCTATTTACTCAAGTATTACATTTTGAGGCTTTTCTATGGACATTTGGCCTCTACTTGCCTATGCTAACATTGCTTCCTCTGTTGAGATCTCCCTTCTTCTTTGGGAATCATCTTGTTTGGGGTGGCTGGTTTGGCTCTCCATTTCAGTCCCAACCCCCACAATCTAGTTAATTCACTTTCGGGTCTTTCTAACTTTATATATAGAGCAGACTCAGTCTACATCTTTTTCTTTGTGACATGGAGGTTTTGATACCAGGGCTCTCTTTTATGTCTCCTTCATTCTCTCCAGGAATCTTTTTTTAGAGACTTTTCTCTTGAGTCCTTCATTTTTTTTTAATGTGCCTATACATGTCCCCTTTAGTGTTAAAGCAGGTATTTCCAGAAATACACTGTCTTCTTTTCACTTCTTATGGTCAAAGTGGCTCTTTGATCCCACATGATTCTCAAAGTAACTTATTCCCCACCCTATCCAAACTTGATTCAGTGTAGAGCCTTCCAAGGCCTGGAAGTCAGTCTATGAGTTCCTTCTACTTACATATGTGGGTTTCCACATCCATGGTGAGCATAGCATATGTTGGCATTGTGCTTAATGCAACCAATCCTACTACCTGTTTTGATGGGATGCATTTCTGGATGCTTGATCCATTTTCAGCCTCTGGTCTCCAGAGGCGAGACTTCTCTATCTCTACATTCTCTAAAATTGGTGGCTGCTCCACAGGTATGCCATCATCTTCTTTCTTATTTGCCTAGTCTTCTTATCATGATCCATTCAGACACCTCCTCTTTTGTTCCTTTCTTCCCCTGACTCCTTCCTTCCTAGCTCTGAAATTTCCCCATTTGGGCCCATGGCTACCATGTTCAGTTGTCAATCTATCATGCCTCAAATGTGTTTCTGGTAGCAGGTCAACTATCTCACCTAGGTCAGGACTTTTCCTACTGACTGGTTGCACCATCCATTCAATAGATTTGCTCACAACATGAGCATCTTACAATCATTGCCTTTCCACCTACCTCTACTCCTCATTTCCACTAATTTGGTATCCAATCCTAGACTCTGTAGCTGAGGATGATCTGTGTCTTGTGTGGTTCAACTTCCTTTTTTTATACTTCAGACATATTTCTTCCCATTTTTCCTTGTGAGGATTGTCACTCACTTTTCTCTTGCCCTGTGCCTACACTATTTACCACATGAACAGGTTTATCTTCTTCCTTAATTCCCCCAAACTTTGGGTAGCTTGGGGAAGTGTTTAGATGTTTTCTTTATTCATCCTACCTTCCCTGTTTAGTCATTTCAACCCAGTTTTTCCCTTTTGTTCTGTACGACATATTCATTATTATGTCACTCGTAATGCCTTCTTTTTATGGCACTTGCCAACATCTTGTTATCTAGTTATGGAATTCCTCTTCATCTAATAACTTATCTCCTTCCACTTTGACCGGTAGGATTATACACCCCTTCCAGGCTAGTTTCTTCTTCTATATGAATGATGATCCTTTTCTTATTTTACATGTCTCCTCTCATCATGTTTGTCATCTCGTGGTTACTCTTGCCTCCAGTCCTCAGCATCTCTTGTATGAGATCTTGCAGGTAGTGATGTGGACAGCCCCCAAGACATTAGTGTCCTATTGCTTATACCATAAGGAGGTTTCACCTAATCTGGCTTTTTTGTCTTTCCAGTTGCAATTTTCCACTCTTCACAGTGGCTCTGATGGTGAATTGTTTAATTTTCTCCTTTATTTTCTAAGCCTCAATTTAACCCTATTCTAAATATATATATATAAATCTCAGATTTACCTCAGGAAAAAAGGTCAGGGATTTTACTCCCTATACCTGGTTTTTATGGTAAGTATTCCACATATATATTTCCCCAATATGGAACAGCTTGACTTAGAGACCTAGCCATGCTATGTACTCATGCTCAGCTTTTGCCTTTGAGATAATGGACAGTTGAGTAATCTGTCATTCCACCCATTCTAGTGACACATTAGCACTGACAAAAAATTATTTTCACAATATCTTTTGCTCTACAACCTTTGTTGGGGAAAAAATATTCCCTGCTTGGGATGGAAGCAGTCTCCCACTAGGTTGCCTTCTACCTCATGGATGTCACATTCCATGGACTTTCCCCTTCTCAGAAAGGAACTCATCTTCTTACTTTCTCTGCACTGGCTCCTCAACTATCTTCAGTGTAGAATAATAGCTTTTTGTGGTGCAGGGAGATAAGTAGTGTTTCTGAAGTTAACATTTTCCTTACCTGAAAATGTATTTTAGAAAGATACTCACCTCTCCTCTCCACTTCCAGTGCATTTATATTGGCTTTGTCAAGAATGAGTCTATGTTCAAGTACTAGTGCTCATGGGGGTTATTGCTATGTAGAATGTGTCACCATCTTGTTGGTGGAGGGCTATATATACATCATAGTCTGGCCCAATAGACATGGAGGGGTGGGATATTTATCCAAGGCTTGTAGCATGCACATGAAATTACACAGCATTGAGCTCAAGTTAATAGCTCATGTGGTGCAGAAAAGTATTTGTCTGAAATACATTTTGAGGTAAAGCTTTTAGATATTTCACTTATTCTAAATATAAAAGTTTCAAACACCTGAGATGATATGTCGTCTTCTTTTTCCACTATATATAACATTACACTGTAGGTATTGAACTAAGACAACTTTACTGGAAGTTTGATAATCTTGAACTTTCCAGATTATGACAGGGAATGAATGAATGCTTTGTGTTGTTCTCAAGACTATTGTGTTTCAAAATTGAATCCATACTCCTTTCAAATTAGTCTTTTATAACTATTCAAGATTTTTGTACTATGTCCTGATGATAATTTTTGACCTGAGTAAAATTCCTAAATGAACTATCTTTCTTTTATTTAAGAAAACAAAAATGTGAAGAAAATGAAATCTCAGCAATGTCATATCAAATTGCTAACCAGGTATTTCACTGCTTAACAAATACCTATTAAAACTGGAAAGTAAAAATCATTTATATTATGAATTATATCAATTCTTAAGAAAGATGGTGTTAGAATGATAACAGTTGTATGGATATCCAAAAATATGCATAAAAACTCTTTTAGTCGCCACTTGATCAGCCTTTAATAGGCTCAGCTTTAAGTTGGTTATATATATTATTTTGACTTTTGCTTCTTACAACTTGTAGCATTGTTTTGAAGAGTGCAAGAGATTATCCAGAAGTTGAGATTTTGACCCCACTACTTATATTGTAAACTTTGATGCCAGTTCAAGAATCCTTTACCATTGCCTTAGAAGCCTTACAAAATGTTAACACTCCTACAAGTTATCTTCCCCATGAAGGTTGAGTATGGATAGTCCAATTGCAACTTGTTAATTTCTTTATGGCAAGAATAGAACAGGGTGGCTTAGCAATCTTTTTTTTTTTTTCATTTCACTATCAAGTTGAAAAAATGCCTCTTTACCATTACTAAACACTTTTGTTTCAAAAATTGAAAATATGTTTTGAAACTAAAATATTTATAAAGAAGTAATACCCTAATTTAGTTGGCATATGATCATAACCAAAAAAATGGATATTGTGAAACATGAACAGCATTCTAAGTTCCCCTGTAGCACATAAAGTAAATTATATTTTAAGAAAGATAATTTATTTAAGGGTTTTAGTTATATCAGCATTTATCCCCTTGACATTGTACACAAAATCTTGAATGAGTTCCAACTGTTATTGCTAAAAATCTGTAAATAGACTTCAAAAGTAGTGTACAATTTTCCATGGTGTGTGTGTGCTAATTTGGAAAGAATTTACTTATTAAGGAGTATAACCTTAAAGTGCACACAGAATATTGTTCATAACTTATTGTAATGTGGAAATTTTTCACATCCAAGAAATGTGATCACAAAACAACCACTATTAAGTTAAAAGTTTTTATTAGTAGTTATTTACACACTAGGTGAACAGGAAGACATCTAACCACTAGGCTTTAAAATCATAAGTTAGTTATCAAAAATCTTGACCTTCAAAACACAAGAATTTGTGTTAAGTAAAACCAGAAAAAACCCTACTAATTGTTCTATTATTCAGTTATCAACAAACATCCCATTTCCTCTATATCTTTTCAATGACCAGATGGTTAGGGCACTCGACTTGCAATCTGAAGGTC